TTTTTTTTTAATTCTATAAATTAGATATCTATAGAGATCATATGACTTTCTTTAATAATTTTTTTATACATGTTAAGGTGGTAAGATTATGCGCAAAATCAAGGGAAGCTGTTAGTTCTCCTGTTGAGCATCTAACATTGCATTATCAGGTAGTGTAAATAGTAGAAAGTCTGTGTCTGGTGTTTTAAGTCTTATATTTTCAGTTATGGATAATTGTGGATGCTTTACAATATGTTGTCAACAGATCAGACATCTAGATACATCTGAAAAGAGTGAGCTTCACAAGTTACAGCAAGTGAAAGATGAACAAGGTATTTTCTTGTTTATTTTACATTTTTATGTATTTCGTTACTGTGGGTTTGAGCCTTTTAAATATTTTAAATATTGCTGGACCTTTCAGTTAGTTAAAATCTATCTAGGCACATAATGCAGCCAGAAACATAATGCAACCTATCGTAATCGCAGAATCCTATTTCACATTAGGAATTACCTTTGTAGGTTATACCCATTCCTCATTCTTCTAGAATCCAGACATACTAGTAAAATAAAAAACGGATTGGTACTTAATTTTATGAGAAAATCATACAATGTTTGTCCACTGATATCAAATAATTAGTGATAAAAAAAAAATAAAAAAAAAAATATCCTTCATGCATTTAAACCTACAAATCTACAATGTGTATCTGCATTTTCTTTGTTTAATTTCCCAACAGAAGTGTACAAAAGATGCCTTAGTATAACAGCTGATAATGCATCTGAAACTTTAAGTAAAGAATTCAAATAAAATTTGACAATTACCAGAAATACTTCCATGTGAAATTTCGAGGATACTTGATGCATGCTTGTACTCGATGGCGAATATTATGATTTTCTTAAATGGATGTTGGTCACCCATTTAAGGATAAAATATATTAGGAAGGAGCATATTTCACATCTGAGTGCAATTGATTGGTTGTAGATTAAACAATCAGTTAAAGATTAGCAATATGCAGACCTTCAAACCTGTGGCGCTTATCTTTTCAGCAAGTTGATCAACAGCCACATTACTTGGAGCACAGACCGAAACCAGGACAGAAAAATGAATTTTAAGAGCACAGAAACATAATCAGTATGCTAGCCTAAATAGTATCTTCCCCAACACGTAGAAACTAGAAAAGTAACTCAATAGTATCTGATTAATCTTACAATATTCACAAACAAGTTTTTTGTTTCTTCTAATCATCCCATAAAGAAATTGACTCCAACTATATGTAAGAAAAGAAAATATTATATAAACCAATTTTTCTTCCTCTTCTTCTTCTTTTCATGACTCCAACTATATGTGAATTATCCAACAAGTAAATGCTATGCAGATGTGGATTACGAGTCTGACCAGCTTAATGAGATAGCAGATATGGTCGAAGAAGATCTTCGTGATTGTCCGGAGATGTTTGATAGATTGGTAAGCGATGCTCACAAACCATTGTATGATGGTTGCACTAAATTCACAAGATTATCTACTGTCTTGAAGTTATATAATTTGAAATGTAATAGTGGATGGTCATTGAATTATTAAAGCTATTAAAAGATATGCTTCCTATCAATAATGAGATTGAGATGTTTCTTTTCAGTTTTTGGCATATACTTGTGCATTCTCTTCCTACTTAACAGGTATATATTTTGTTATACTCTTATTACATTTTCTTTTATATCTTGTTTATAATATGTTATGAATGACTTAACTTTGATATCAATATATGTATAATTTTGCGATGCAAGAGGTTGCAATCAAAATTGTTTGGTCTTGGCTAATGGTGGTCGTATTTCTTACTAGGCATATTAGTCTTTTTATTCATTTATAGGAATTGGAGATTCTTTCATAATTTTGTGCTACATTATTCTCTTGTAAATACACGAATACAATGTTAATTGAAATTGGTGGATTTTGTTAGTAAGTTTTTGTTATATTATGTTTGTGTTGTTTTCTTGTTGGTCCTTGCTTCTTGGTATATGGGGTTATGATTTAAGTTATCTGGATCTTGTTTATTGGTATAGGTATTTAATAAATACATGGAAAATATATATATATATATATATATATATATATATATATATATAATTATGCAGATAACGCTTGTTAAAAAAAAGTGTTATGTATTATCATTATCTCAGATAACGCTTTTGTTAAAAAATGTTATCTGATTAATATTATAGATAACACTTTACATAACGTTTAGCATAAAAAGTGTTATGTGAATGGCTCTTCACATAACGCTTAGCGTAAAAAAGCGTTATGTGAAGGGCTTATCACATAACGCGTAGTATATAAAAGCATTATGTGTAAGGTTCTTCACATAACGCTTTTTAAGCGTTATCTGAAGGATCGGTCTTCATATAACACTGATTCCGATAACGCTTAAAAGCGTTATCTGTAGCAAAAAAAAAAAAAAAAGCGCTATCTAAAGTCTTTTTTGGCGTAGTGATATTATCTTACGTATCAATTACTGAAGGTTTAGATAATTATAACCAGAATCAATAAATCTTATAATCTTATCCTTCCGCGGTCCGTTAAATACTTATCATAAGTACTAGTGTCATCCATCAGTTAAAGATCAACTGAATCAAGACTACACTACAGTCTATTTCCAGCAGGGGTCTCATTGCATGTCTAAATTGTGAACAATTAATTTATATTTTACAAGGAACCGATAATATGACACATATGTTCGACACGACGAACCGTATTATCTACAACGTAAAATAATAGAGTTATGATTGCATAAATAAATAAACTGTAAATATAAATACTTTGACTAAAACACGATTGTCGGATCAAAGTGGTATTGTTTATATCTGAAATCCAAGCTTTTACAACATATCTAATAATCTCCCACTTATGCTTAATAAGGTCATGGTTATCACTAACCATAATTCTCTTTTAATCTAATTTTCAAAGACTAGACTACTATGTTGCTCTAACGTCTGACTCTCATCCCTTCTACGTGTCATGCTTACTAGGCTCATCGTAAAAGGATCTGCTAGGTTGTCCTCCGAAAGTATCTTGGCAACAACGACTTCTCCTCGTCCAACAATTTCTCATATCAGGTAGTACTTACGCTCTATGTGTTTACTAAACAATAAAGGAAAGAAATAATTAGTATTTGGATTCCAAATATAATTATTAAAATATTTTCTTAATTAATAAGTCAAAATTTTTAACTAAACAGTAAAACATACTGTTTTTTATTTATCCAACAACCTTAAATAGATATAGATCTTCGGTAACTATATCAAACTCTACTGGCAATTTCTAATTCCAACAGAAATTTTGTGTTGGTAAAATATGTTGGCGTTTAAAGATTTGCGGTGGCAGCAGGCCAAGACTTTACTAACTTGACAAAAATCGTTATAAAAAAATTTGCAGTTCAGTATATGGATGCACCTATTGCTTTGCAGGCGATCATATTTGTACTGAAATATTGAAAGAGGAAATAGTTATTTATATCCCTTTCAGAAAACTTGATAAATTTTTTACACCGCTGGATTATAAGTTAACTTTTTTACTCTATAAAGTGCGAAAGACATTATGCGATAATTGTACAAATGGCACTGTGCAGAAGTTAAAAATGCGAAGACATTCGCATAACTTTCATACTTTCTGAGTTGAATATGCAACACTTATGCGATTTATATGCGACAATTAGACAAATCATTCACATAATTTTCGCATTTTGGTGGGTGAAAAAAGTTAGATTGTTAGCAGGTGGACTGAAAAACCTTAATAATACATCTTCAAGTCTGGGCTGTAAAAGAAAATTGTCCCATAAATTGTAATACCACAAAGGTTTCATTAATAACTCCTATGGCATATAATATATGTTTTTTTTTAACATATCATTTATTTTCTCTACTAACCATTTGAAATTGAAATATGAAATATTTGGTCAAACTATCAAGTAGGTCAACCACATAACTAACAATCTCCCCATGTCTCATATCCCCCAACAAAAAAACAATCCTTTGAAAAGCTTCGATAAACGGCGCCAGAGTGCGAGTATCCTGGAGGTCGAGGGATCGATCCTGAGAACGTGGAGAAATGGTTGAGGCGTCCAGTTTCTCCCT